TAGCTATCGCCGCGCCATCTAGACGGGCTCGATAGCTGTCAAGGCTCTCAGCCATTTGCTTTTGAAGATCTGATCTGACAGGTTACCAACAACAACAACAACAACAACAACAACAACAGAGCATTCCCAAGGACAGGGAACTGGGAAGAGAACTTTGCATTTAATGCGGCAGGATGCAAGAGAGGGCCTTGACCCAGTTTACACTACAAAGTGGCGTTCTCCATGATCCATAACAAGGAGGATTCACTTTCATCATCAGCCGCAGAAAGCCAAATCTTGGCTCGGCTAGAAACCATTCCAGATTCGATATCGGTTCCTGACCCGGAAACAAGACATGCAGGAGAAAAAGCGAAGGATTCATAGCTGATGCTGTGCCGCGCAGTCTTAGATCCATCTTCGATTACGGATCATCTCCAGGGGGAGGGAAGATGGGGCGTGGAGAAAAGAGTTGAACTAGGATCTTCCCGCCAAGTCCTGCCCGTGCCATTTCCAGTCACGCTTTTCTAAGGATCTGATTGGCCGGGGAAACCGGGAACGGAGACTTTTAGATCGCAAGTGTTCCGCTAATCCTAGTCTCTTGGCGTGTGATGCAGATTCAGACGGGGGCGTTGTTGGTTGAACCGACTACCCAAGACTTGGGAGAAAGTCGCAAAACCCGCGCGAATAGAAAACCACGCATGACAAAAGCTGAACTTGGGTGAGGATTTCATTCTAGAATACATATCTTGGTAGCCACGTGTTGATCGAGAAAGGATGATCCTGTCCTTTTTGATCATCAACTCCACGGTCCTCCTCAGAACCAACCATTCTACTCACTTCAACCATGACGTGCAGCAGTCATCAGCTCGCAAACTCGGCTACCCAACTTTTCCCTTCTTCAGCTTCAGGGATATTGCTGACGATGGGTCCCCAAGCCACTAACTGTAACCGCGCCGCCGGTGGACACTACCAAACGAGGAGATTCGCTGCGCTGCCGAATATTCTCCCCTGGTGTCTACATACTATTAACTAGGTGCCTACGCTAAACGTGTGCGGCTGGAAATGGTTTCATTCACCGGGGCTGCATGATTCAGGAGGACCAAGTATCTCTCTTGCGAGTGAATCGGGTCGGGTACAACTAGGATGCATAATCAGTTCATCGTGAGTGGGCGATTTAACGAAGCGTCTTGGGTCACTCACTCTTTAATACCCACCGATTCTCTCTTGACTCTTCTTGCTTGCTTGTTTGTTGTGTAAGTAGACAAGGAGAAGGAAACAGAAATGCCCTTTCAACTTGTGGCCGAGAGGGTCACTCCTCTTCAACTCCTCTTGCTGGTGTCTTCACTAGTACTGAGCTATGTTGTTTCTGTCGTCATCTACAGACTCTACTTTCACCCCCTGGCCAAATACCCGGGTCCTTTTTGGGCTCGTATCTCGGCGTTTCCAGCATACATCCACACACAAAGAAAAGATCGACATGTTTGGTTCTGGCAGTTACAGCAGCAATATGGTAAGTCAAACCTCCTCCACCTCAAACACAACCTATTAACATAGTTCAGGCCCCAGCTTCCGAATCACCCCCAACAGCGTCCTTATCAACACCCCAACCGGCCTCAGAACAATCTTCAACAACAAAGCCAATGTCAAGAAGGCCGAGTACTACAAGGCGTACCCACGCAACGTCAACGCCATGACGACGTGGAACACCATCGACAAGAACGTCCACGCCCGCAAGAGACGCGTCATGAACAATGCCTTTTCCGACAAGGCCCTCCGCTCCTGCGAGCCTTTCATCCACGACAACGTCGATCGTTGGTGCGAGCTCATCATTGACGAGATTGGTGAGGGAGAAAAGTGGTCCAAGTCTTTGAATATGGCGAGATGGGCTGATCATCTCATCTTTGATATCCTTGGTGATCTTTGCTTTGGAAAGTCTTTTGGCATGAAGGAGCCTGGGAGTGAACTTCGTTATGTCCCTGGACTCATGACTGACTTTTTGGAGATTCTCCATCCTGTAAGATCTACTTTATCAACACACTCATATCGTCGCTAACAACACCAGATCGCATACTCCCCCTTTACAGCCCTCTGGGTCTGGCTCAAGCCCCGAGGTCTAAACCAGCTCCTCGCAGCCGCCGCTCCCCCCGCCCTCAAGAACTGGCAATCCTTTGTCGAAAAGTGCTTCGCTGAGCGAGCCCGTGTCGAGCACTCTGCTGAAAAGTCAGAGGGTGGTGGCCGAACCGACTTTTTCCACTACCTGTTCAAGGCTGTAGATCCCGAGACAGGAAAGGGGTACAGCGAGGATGAACTCTTTGGCGAGAGCGAATCTCTCATCATTGCTGGCTCTGATACTACGGCTATTACAACTGCTGCTGCGTTCTTTTACCTATCTCGAAGCCCTGAAGTTCAGCAAAAGTTGTCAGACGAGATTACATCCACTTTCTCAAGCATCGATGAAATCAAAAGCGGTCCAACTCTTCACTCATGCAAGTATCTCCGAGCTTTCATTGAAGAAACTCTCAGAATGAGCCCTCCCGTCCCCGCCGATCTATCCCGAGAAGTCCAAAAGGGCGGCATCGTCGTGGAAGGAGAGTACATCCCTGAAGGTATCAAAGTGAGCACAGTCTCGTACTGCATGCACCACAACCCAGAATACTTCCCAGAACCCTTCAAGTTCCAACCTGAGCGCTGGATCGTTGATGAAGATGATACCACGGGTGCGTCGGCTGAGAGACTTGCCGTGGCTCAGAGTGCATTCATGCCTTTCTCTGCTGGACCTCGAGGCTGTATCGGTAAGAACTTGGCATATCTCGAGATGAACCTGGTTCTGGCCAAGATTATCTACAACTTTGAGATTCGTCGTGATCCGGCTAGCAACCTGGGAGGTGGCAGTCCTAAAGCCATCGAGGGTCGTCAGACTGTCGATCAGTATCAACTGTATGACATTTTTGTTGGAATTAGAGACGGACCTATGGTTCAGCTCGCCAAGAGGACAAGAACAGCGTAGCCAAGCCCTAGTTAAAGAGATTGAATAAATTTGATACACTCTACTTGCTTTAACGGCCATCAACTCGTCCAATTCAAAGAAAGAATCTCATTGTCTAGTCCGTACATGAATATTGCTGTCATCAATGCCGTTGTTCATCTCTTGCGGTACCAGAAACGCCATATCATACCATTCATGTTCCGTATCATGCTTCAGACAGTGCTTCAGCAGCCAGGACATTGTCCAAGAGGCGCACAATCCACGGCGAGCTAGGATATAGTAGGCTCGCCTCTAAAATTCGCTTTCGTTCTGTGTCATTGAGCCGTAGCCTTGGGCAACGTAACATCAGTTCCGTCTCTCGAATGAGCCCTCGTTTCATGGCACTGTCGATCGACTTTCCGTTGAGAATACCATTGCCCATACTCAGCAACATTTCAAGAACCTCGTGGCCATGTTGAACACGTTCAAACGTGTTCATGATCGAGTTGACCAAATCTTCGTTAATGGAATCCCTCAGTCCCCGGCCCAAGAGGTACTCAGTCAAGGGCAAGCTGCCCCCCTGAATAGAATGGAGCAATACCGTCTGTGGGCTGTCGATTGGAGAGTCTTGTGCCTCGAAGAGCAGCCTAGCAGCACGATAATGACCCTTCTTGCATGCTACGTCCAAAGCTCCTCTGGAAATGTCAGGACGGACGTCCCCACGCAGGCACAGCGCCACCATGTCTGCATCTCCTCGTGAAGCAGCCGCCTCCAGTGGATTTTGCACCGACTCGTCCCCAGGTCCATTGACATCTGCCCCTTTGGGAATGAGGAGCATGCAGACAGCTAGGAAGCCCCGGCTGGCCGCCATGCATAATGTGGTTGTGAGAGTGTGTCTTGTGAAATTGCCTAAACTCAGTGCCTTCTAAACAGCGACAGGGCATCCCGATCTGGATGCTCCTTCGAGAGTGTGTGACAAAACTTGTGAAGGCTGAGGGTTCTCTAATAGGAATTTAGGCTGGTGTAACCTCCAGTGGTGACAGTACAGGCCTTGTAGAGATTCAAAGCCAAGTTCATGCGCAAAACAACCTTGAACGGCGCAATAAAAAGGCCTCTGGTGACGCTCCAGATGAACATCTCGCTCCTTGGTGGTTCCAAAACTCCCAGTGAAAAAGGAGCACCATGGCTTTGGGCACTTGAGGATCAGTTTCGGTTCAGATCCTAGACCAGTAGATACTCCTCCCTGAGAGGGCATCTTGTTCCAGTATAGGTTCTCAATCTGTCTCCGAACGAGACTGACTCGGCTCTCAAGCCGCAACTGTAAGTTACGCTCCTGCGCGTCCTCGTGTATGTGTTTGAACAACTCTAACACAGCTGGGACGCTTCTAGGGGGCAGTCCGTTCCAGTACGGCGCCTCCCTCATGTGTGCCCAGAGGAAAGCTCCAAGCGACATGATAGCCTCGTCATACCCGGGACGAAATCTGGGAGCCTCGATAATGGCCTTGGCGTGATGATACCAGTGTTGGACGGTGTAGTCCAGAGGCTCATAAAAGTCAATGTCTTCCTAGGTCATGACTTTCTCAGCAAAGACACCATCTCTGAATTGTTGCGATGTCAGGTATTCGGAACAGAAACGAGATAGCTTGGCATGCTCAAAGCTAACGTTGATCATGTTTGGATCTCGCTCCAACAAGGACCTACACAATCCGTCAGTCACTGTCTTGCCGGCATCAACGTGGTACAGACTTTTTGATATTAGGATGTAGCATCCGAATCATCTCCTCGGAGCACGAATCATTGCCCGTAACGCGGTAAACGTCCACCACACCTCGACAGAGCTCCCTGGTTTGAACCGTTGGTCTTTCTGCGTCCATGCAAAACAATGCTTGAGCTTCCCGCCATCGAAGAGGTTGTTCTGCCACCATGAGTAAACCCAACAGTTTTAGTCCCTCCTTTGAATTTCGCAATTGAGACATGGCCCGGTAGCATCTATGTAGTGAGTAGTGAGGTATTGTCAGCAACCAGGGAAAATGAACCAGGTTTGGGCTTGGTACACTTACACATCAGCCATTGTCGGGGGAAACGAACTTGGCGACAACGCAGACCCCGGGTTGCTAGTTGCTTGATAGCTGAGGATATGGCGAAGGAGGATTCGAACGTAGAGGAAGTTGCCGTTTGATAATTTTGCCACTTTTTCAGCAACCTCTTCCCCGTACTCTGGAGATAGGCCGAACCTCTTCTGTATCTCTATGCAACACTGGCCACAGTACCGCCGCAAATCCTTGGCGTGGGCAAATCTCTCCAACGGTATCGACGGGCACGAGCCGAAATGCTAATGCAAGCAAGCACTATTACGTCGAGTTGAGATGATAATTCGCAAAATCGACCCATCGGGTAGGTCTCCAGCCGTGGCGAATAGCCATTTTACCGTCTGGTCTACTTCCTTGTTGCTGCATTGGTCCAGACCATCCAGAACCAAGAAGGTGGTGCGGTGCGTCTCAATGGCTCGTTTGACAAGGTACTGGAGAATTTCTGTCTCCCTTATTCCATCAGCGTAAGCATGTAGGTGCTTGTCGACGAGTTCGCTCAGCAAAATCCCATCCTGGTCCATGAACTGCTCCAAGAGAGCACGCAGAAGGTTGTTGTGCGGTTCTTGCAAGCAATGACTGAAATAAAAGTAGCCGACCAACATTTCACTGCCGGACAGGTGCTTCACGTCTAGGAGATTGTTGGTAACTGTTGACATCAGTACTGTCTTGCCTATTTTTGCAGTTAGCTTCAATAATCTATTACTCTTGTGAGAGGCAGAGTGCCTCTTACCCATGCCATGTAGGCCATTGATGCAGAGTATCCTGCTACTAGTACTGCCGTACCAAGACTGAAATTCTGCATCAGAGAAGACCCAATTCCCTGAATTGAACGCGTTCCTGTGTTGGGTGAATCTCTCATAATCACCCCGGTAGTCTGGGCTCTGAAGTTTGACCTTGAGCTCGCTCATGGCCAATTTGTGCCTCTCCTCGGCTTTCTGTGTCTTGATATCGCTATCAGTAGTCGTTTTACTGCGTTCCGAGGCACCGGTATCACTTGTTTCGTCCTCTAGCACTTCTCGAAGGCTTTCGTGGCTCTGCTCTGGTTCTGATCTGAAGAGTACATCCAAACCTGGCATTTGTGAGCGCAATATGACCAGAATCGCTCTCAGCATCTCGTACCAGTGTTTCTCAAAAGCTCCAGAGCTTTACGATGGAAATCCAGCACCTCGGACAAGATTTCATTAACACCCCCTAATTGAGTGAATTGAACAAGTTCCACAGGCTGTGCAATCTCCTGCCCAATCTTGGAATAGGCGTAAATCAGTCTGTCGAATATATCCCCATCCTCCTTCTAGGCAGCCTATAGCCATCAGCGATCTCTCCCATGACGTTCAGGGGCGATGCATGGGGAGCCCACTTCAATGAGAAAGTTCATCGGACCCTACAGATGTGAGCTTTCGTATGGAACTGAACTGGGATCTGACTCACCCAGATGAGGCAAGAAAACTCGTCCTTGCTTAGCAATGGCTCCTCTATATGATCCCACTCCTCCAATCTCCGAACAAGCACCTGGAAGTTTGCCCATGGCTGCTTCATGGGGAGATTAGTATCCGCGAGGTTCATCTTCAATATCGTATCGTGAATGACCCATGTTGAGCAGGGCGAAATTTCTCGTTGCAGGCCCGGGTCGAGAATTGCTTCCAGGTTGCGGACTGCCACCATCAAACGTTCGGGCCTCGCCATGCTTGAACTGCGGAAAGGTATGAATTCTAGATGCTAAAATGATGAAAAGCATAGAGTTTGCAAGATAAAAGTTGCACCAAGACAAGAAGTTGTGGACGCAAGAAGTAGAGATTGGAGGTCTTGGGACTCGGCAGAGATGGGTTCCTAGGCATGGAACTCACGAGGCAGGCACAGGGCGGCCTGCTCCATGGCTCTTTCTCTACCTAAGTGTGGTAACCCGAGAGTGCCACACGAGTAAAGAGGAAGGAGCAGTCAGTTGACAACCGGAGGTGAGTGATCGCGAGAAACTGGGCAAAACACCTATCCGCCCATGTGCATATAGCTACTAAACAAAACTGCGATGGATGGAAACTGTCATCCAAGAATAGATCCAATCAAGGTTGAAAGGGAAATGAAGGTGGCAAAGGCATGTGGTCAAGCCGTTGTGTTTGTACTCAGGTCAACACGACACCATCTTTCAGAGAAGCCAAGTCACATCACTCACTAGACACAGAGATGACGATATCCTATTTCTTTCCTCGCTTCATGCTCTTCAAACGCTGTATCTCTGACATGCAATAATACCATCCAACTCTGTCTCACACAACTCATCCACCACAGCCGCATCTCCTCACCCAACCTTTAACCAGCAACCCGAGAGAGAGAGAAGGCTACATACAGTCTTTGTGTAGTACAAACGTCTCTGCGCTGTATAAAAAGCATAGCATAGCAAAGAAAAGAGAAAGAGAAAGAGTTTAGTAAAGAGAACAAGAAAAAAGACCATTCCAATGGCACCCTGACGCCCGACCCGTGCAATCTCGACTTGACCTGCCCTTCAACATATGTTCTCTTTTTGTCCCCAATGGTCCTCCACCCTCCAATAACTCAGGTCTCGAGATAAGTGAAAGAAGAATGTGAATAGCCTAGTAAGAAGGTGTAAAGAAAAAGGGTGGGGAAACAAGATAGAATAGACAAAAGAGAATCGGGGAGGACTATAACGCGTTCTTGACTCTAGGGGGGAAAGAGGACGACCCGTCTAACGTAGGCCAATAACGCTCATCTCAAGGGTCCATACTCTTCGGATCCAGACCTTGAGCTTGCCCTCGACACCTTCGACGTTTTCGAGCTCGACGCCTTCCCACCAGCATCGTCGCGCGGGCTTGCGCCAGAAGAGGAGGAGCTTTTGCGCCATGCCTACGGCGTTGTTGCCCATCTCGTTGCCGCGGATGTCGCTGCGCAGCCGGGCGAGCGCCAGACTGCAGATGACGGCCTTGTTGGGCTCGCCTGCGCGGTGACCCCATCGGTCGTCGTGGTTGAAGCCACTAAATGCGAGGTTAGTATGATACACATGCTTGAACCCGTTGAAGCAAACTCACCCTGCCGTCAACATCTCAATAAGATGGGCCTCAGTGGTACCAGGCTCGTCACTTCGCTTCAAACCGGAAAAGATGCCGTCCTGCTGCTGCAGAGCCTCTGCAGCGGCCCGCTTCACAGCAATCATGTCAAGCTGGCCAATGTCTGGTCGCGGAGGAATGGCGTAAAAGTCCAGGTCCTCGCGGAGTACAATGATGCCGGCTCGCTTAGAGTCGTCGCGCGAGGCCCCAAGAGAAGGCACATCTTCATCCTGCGACACACTTGGTGACGGGTCTGTGGGGATCGATTGTGCCACATCCCGGAAGAAGTCAAGCATATACTGCAGAGAAGCAGGGTCGTACTGTAGCACATGTTGGTAAGGTGAACTTTACGGTGATGAGAGCATGGGCTTACGTCTACTTGTACGGCATCTCCATCCGAGAAACCACCCATGTGTCCTTCAGGGAAGAGTCCATTGGGGAACAAGGATAGCAGTACAAACTCGGGCAAAGTGAGCAACTCATCTCTAGAGAGGTAGAACCTGGTGCCCCTATTTTCAGTTAGTCTCTGTCGCGCTCGTTTGCTACTTCATATCGCAAGCCTCACCTAAGGTCCATAGCAATCGTCTCATCGGCGCCGACATCTCCAATGGTGTTAACAGGCGGCCCGCCCTGCTGCACCTGAGTAATAATACTCGAAGCTCCTCCTGCGGCAGCCATCAGGTACGAGAATGTGAGGAGGGGACTGTCTCCCTCCGAATAAGCCGGTGGCGGTTCTGCGTCGTCGTCCTTGCGACTGGAATCCCCTTTGGTATCCTGGGGAAGTGCGCGCTTGGTCTCTGCGACTGGATCGCGAAAGGCACTGGCGGTCTGGTCCGGGTCAAAAGGCTGTGCTACTCGCGGGGCGGTAAAAGACTCGTATGCTGGCGCGGCAGAGCCTGAAGCTTCTCCTTCGCAGTGAGAAGTGACGACAAAGGTGGTGAACTTGCTGGGACGCTGGTGGGCGTGATCCGGTGGTGAGGTAAAGAGCGACGAGAATGGGGGAGGGCGCGAGGAAGAAGCCTCAGAGGCGGGATATTGCGGCGGCGGTGATTGCTCGCGGCTCAAGAGAATGTGCGACTCGGGTTGTTCGGGGGTCTTGAGATCTTCGGGTGTCGGCTCGCGATGATGGATTGACGATGTGCGCGTGCTGGGCGTCGTCGATGATGCTATCGACGGCGTCTTCTTCTCAAACTCCAAGGACACAGATGGTCCGATACCAGTTTCCTGCGGTTCAGACAGTGTGGCGGCTTGTACCTAACGCCAGATCGGCGTACGATAGAAGAGCGCGCGGGCTGATGGATGGGGGAGAGAGAAGGTGGTCGAGAGGACTGGTTCACCGATTCGAAGTTGAGGAGGCGAATAACCTAATGTCGGGGTTGCAACATTAAATGCAAGAGTACTAGGCAAAGCAGGGTGAAGCGTCGGTAGTTCGAACAGTCGAATGGGGCCTCGTTTCCCAGACAGTGGCTTCTCAGTCGCGCTGTGAAGCTGAATGGCGATTGTGATGTGATGCGTGATTGAGGTTGGTTGGCGAGATGGAGCATGGATTCCAGTACCTCAACCCATGGGACGGGATGGGCAGCAACCTCAAGGCACAAGCACACTCGGCGCGATCCCTCATTCGACGGCTGCTCCCCTGAGCCTGAGCTTGAGCGGAGAGAGGCTCGCTATCCAGCGGGCTCTAGACTGTGGAACCTAAATTGGAGCCCCGCGGCGCACGCATTCAGCCAATCAGAGCGGTCTCTTGCTCGCTAGCAGGGCCCTTAGCCGCCCAGCTTTAGGAGGTGGAGGCGCTAGAGGCGTTGGAGTTGCATGCGTTGGGCTTGGGATGAATGAAGGGGTCGTGATGGATGGTTTTCATTGTCAACAATCAATCACCCTGACCCTGTGTAGTTAGGATCGACATGGTATTTCATCTATGTATCATCAGGCATATATATTCAAGTCCCCAATGCCTTCTTTTACTCTATTACTAGATATCATTCGCTATCGCTGTCCCCAAAGATCGCCCGAAGCACCTCATCATGAGCTGTCTTTCCCTCCAAAGCCTCATTCTTGTCTGGGTTGATAACCGGCTCCGGTTTGGGAGTTGGCGTTGTTCCTGTTGTTGATGGAGCGCTCTCGATGTATTTGGTCTCTTCAGCAGGGGCCGTCATGCCTCCTGTGTCCTCCTTCGGCCCTGGGCCTCTTGAGTTACTTGTCTCTGCTTCCTTGTCCGGTCGAGAGCTCGCCGGTGCCTTGACGTTGAACCGCTTACACAACAGTCTAGTTGGGTAAAAGTCCTCGACTGTTCTGGTCAACTTGCCATACATGCCAACCTTGGCCGCCTCCTCTGCCGGATCAGCCGCTTTTGGCTCGGGTTTTGACAGAAGCTCAGCCCCTGTTGACCCGTCTGTTGAAGTGACTGATGGTTTCTTCGCTGTTGTGAAGCGAGATGCCATGAACCCCGTCATGGGCTTGAAAATCCTAGCGCAGTTATAAAACTCGGCTAGTTCCCGCGCGAAATCATCGTCCGCCATTCCTTTAGGCTTGTACGGCAACGGCTGACTACCGGTTGCAAAGTGTTCCAGATATGTTCGATAACGGGCCTTTTTCGACTCGTCGTCTGCGTATGGTCCAGCCGAGCCTCTTGATATCGCTGCAACGGCTGTTTCACGATCCAACTTCGGTGCTTCGTCCCACAGCGCCTGTTGCTTTTCCTCCTCCGTCATAGCGAAACCTTCTGGCACCTCGCCAAGCCCGGGAGGGAGATCTTTTCTTCCAGATGCAGCAGCCAATCTGTCGCGCGCCGAGCTAGAGATGAAGTCAAACACGGATTTCCCAGGCAGAGCCTTCTCCCCGAGAAGTGCTGCTCTTGACTTGGCATCGTGTGTGGACGCTTTGGCTGCGTCCGCTGTTGACGTGTATGTGGTAGATGTTGCCTGGTTTGTCGGCGCTTTGGAAGACACCCATCCCTCTGGAACAGGGGGCGGTGCATATTCCAACAAGAGGTCAGCCAGATCCTCGGTAATCTTGGCGAGAACAAAGCCATCCAGAGGTAAACGCCCATCGTGACATCGACGAAGGCCATTACCGGCTCGGGCAGTCCTGGATACAAATACCGGCACATTCTTCAAAGCTGGATTGACAGGAGCAGCCGCCTTTTTGGCCTTTTTCTTCTTCTTGTCACCTCCAATGACGCGATTGTACCGAATCTTGGGTCCGATTTCATAAGGATCCTCCTCATCAGAGCCATTGTCGTTTAAAATGCCCACTCCAATGCCACCACGTCCAGGCTTGGGTTTTTGCCTGCCCGTGGAAAGTAAGGACATACTTCGTAAGCCGCCACTTTGGGGTTCCTCCTCGTCGTCGTCATCGTCTGCTGCAGCTGTAATTTTGCTGAGGCCCGTCAATTTAGCTTCCCCCTCATGGCCCAAGCCCTTTCGGTCAGTTTTTCGTATAAACTGAATCATCTTTGTGTTGTCAGGAGCGAATAAATGTGTTTCGCCAGCTTCGGAGCTTCCGCCAAGGTCGAGCCGGGCGCTTCTTCGAATCTTGGGGCCAATGCCTTGGCCATCCCTCCAGCCCATCTTCCGAAGCAGCTTCAAGCCCATGGTGTCGCCATCAGCTCTGAGTAATCCCATCAAGCCTCCACTGCCAGCTTCTTGCCCCGAAGATCCAAGGCCTGCAAAGGCCTGCGAGGTCTGGAGCTTCTGAGCTTCCGCGGCATCAGCAAGATCCTCCTCGTCCATGTAATCTTCGGGTCGCTGTTGCGCGGGAGCGGCGTCATCTTTGCGGCGGTTATTGCGACTGGAAACGAAGGTCGAAGGTGTCCAACCCTCTTTAGATCCGACCGTGTTGAAGTACCTATCATGAGGTCAGCGCAAGGCCATTCGTACGTGACTGAGTGCTACTAACCCTGCGCTCCATCCTCCAGTAAATGCGCCGTGAAGTCGTTTCCTACCCCTCTCATCCCTCACCTCCTGCTTCCAAATTGGCACAAAGGAGCCATCATCTCGGGCTTCGGGGTCGTCAGGCAGCGGCGTGCCAAAAGTCGCAAAGGGTGCGTGAAGGTCAGCCTCGTAGGTCGCGCGAGAGCGTTTATAGGACATGGGACCGGATGTCGGTATAATTGCGCAAATATTATCAGGGCATTGAAAGATGAATTTCGTTGGCTGTCGATAGCGAAGGCTGCGCAAATGCAGGGCAGGGCGTCATTCAACGTGTTTCAACTGATGATGGAGCTGGCGCAAAGGCATCCAATCCATCTGGAGCTGCGACGTCGAAACATGCCTTATCGATAAGGAACAAAGTTCAAGGTCGCTTCCCGATGACAAGCGGCCCCTGACACGGAAGCGACAGGGAAGCTCCATGATGGAACCCAAAGAAGCGCTCCTCATATGCCGCCTCCGAGTTTGTTCAACGCCGTGTATGCAAGTGCACGTGTGTGAGACAGATGAGACTTTGAAGGGGATTCATCGTGGCATGACGACGGCACGCAGCTAAAGGACGTGTAAAGTGTCATCACCAATGACAATTCAATAGCTGCCCCTGCTTCTACTGTGCCCCTGCTACGAACATGATTACTGGTAACGGAGGTCTCCCTTCCGTGGGTAGGTAGGTACCCGGATAATAATAGTCACGGATACGGGGTCGAAATGTTGTAAATATCTCGGCATCCTCCAAATAATTCGTCTCATCACATCTGCCGACACGTTGTCCCACTCTACTTCGCCCTTGCCCGTCTCATCTCCGTCACTTGACGGGTCTCTGTCTGGAACTGGGACATTTTTATCCATCCATGCCTCCACTTTCCAGATGAGCCTGTGCTTTGAATGCATCCGTGCAGTATGCAGGGCGACTTGATCTCCCTGAGAAAGCCCTAATAGACGCCAGGGCAGCGTTGTGTGACGATTTCTCAGATCTACGTGCAAAGGGCTGCTGCTGTTGGTAAAATGGGACGACAACGCAGCAAGATATGGATGGCGGGGATGTGCGTGTCCAGGCGAGGCGTACTCGGTGCCTGAGACGCCATTCAGAGAGAGCCGGGTGGTGTCGAGTCTTGGCAATCCGCCCGGGTACAGTATGAGATGGGTATCGTCCACCGAGCAGTGAGTGTACTGCACTGCGTACAGGACTTGTGATTGTCGCCGTTGGCGGCAACCCGAGACATGGCATTGCATCACATCACATCGTACCAACGGGGTCAACGTGGGCAGCACAATTCCCGTCTTTGGGCTCACCGGCTGTTCCCTTTGGCAGCCCAAGACTCCCAGACCGAGCTATCGACATCCAGAGGGGATGAGATCTGGACCCGGTTTCCAGGCTTGACCCCCGTTTCCAGCCCCTCGCCAGCAAGCCACCCAAATTTGCTGCCCTTTGGGACAAGACCATTCAAAGGGAACCAGTCAAACGAGAGGTCCACATTGTATGCGAGCTGATTTCTCTCACAGCCAACCTAGTCTCCAATCGAGATGCGTACCACCAGGTGGCGCATCGCCCTGGCATACATACATGCGTACGTACAGTCGCAGACGTCGTTGTCGGATGAGGTGCTTGGCGCTGGTGTTGCTGGAAACAGGGAATTGGCCGAGGACGGTGAGCTATCGTGGATCCAATGACGATGATCCCCCAATTGGTCCCTCGACTTCTGAACCATCCCAAGACTTGTTCCGGCTAGACGTCAAGCACCAGCCCGAGTGTCGTCGTCAGGGCCAAGCCTCTAGGGTCCGTTCTTGACCGCGAAATGAAAGTCTGGCTGGAGCGAGATGCCTCCACCCCAGAGGCAATAACCGTTGGTGGGAAAGTGGGAGCTAGCGACAAAGTCCCCTGGATGGACCTAGTGAAATGCCAGGCCTGCTGTGCTCCGCAAGGGAGCAGCTCAGAGGGTGCTGTAGCACGTCCCCTGGCATCAAGCTCTCGGCGACTTGGGCCAGTTCAGGCATATCCTGGGCCTCAAGGGCATCCTAGTCGAAGGAAAAAGCGAGATACCAGTACAGACATGTTAGCTTATGCTCCCCTAAAAGTAGTCAAAAGAGGAGAATAAGAATAAGTAAAAGAATTCTCAGGTAGTTCCTATATATGGTATTTCTTTTGTTATTTTATTGTAATTTATTTTACAATTTTCATCATGCTTGTAATGATTCATTCAACCCTCGTGATGTTCTGGTGTCCCGTTTATTTGTGCGATGCCATCCCGCTGCACAAGCCCGCGGGGACCAAGTCGCCCTTCATCCTCCCACTGGGCTATTTCAGCTGTAAGAGGCCCAGCAGGTCCATCCTTGTTCAGATAGCCCACTAAGAGCTGCCTCTTTTTTTACCCGCCCCCCGACTTGGACCTCCAGGATACTGAAGGTGGATGGACAGGAGCAGGCTGGCTGACATTTACCTATCGACTCTTGTTGGATCCAATGCTTGTCACTTTTTAGATCCCTCGCCTGTGCTGTCTGCTCCGTGCCTTACCTTTCACATCCATTTCACTTCTGCATTGTTGGAAACCTGGTTGTTGTCTGTCTCCCTCCCATCCCGGCAGAGGCGCCGCTGTGACCGTCTTTTGATATCGACCCAACGTTGCCCTCGAGACCGAGTACCTGGCCCCTTTCGATACCTTACCCATCTGCCCCGGCCTGCTTAGACGTGTCGATACCTTGACTCCGTTATTGGATCGACCTGCCTGCTCCAGGTTCCATCTCGTCTACGCCGCCAGTGTCACCCCCTCGTCGTCACAAGTTACAGAGCATACACCACCAACAGCCAAGGCAAGGAAGCACTGGAATCCAGGACAGCGCACCGCTTGCTTTGTCTCTCTTTGAGTCTCCCCACTGTCGCACCCGGTCAGCAGAGACGAGGGCGTTGTCGGTCTGCGACTGTGACTGCGACTACGTACGGATACGCTCGATTTGCGACTGTCTGTCGCTGCGAACTCGCCCCCTCCCAGCGCATGTGGACGAGCACACACGAAACGACTCACTGCCTTATACAGCACCCCTAAGCCCGAAACCCGGCAGCATCGACGTCAGCCGTCTCCGCTGCAACAGCCATGAGCACACGAACGGCTGCTCTCGCTGATCCCTCTCGAGGCCCGAACCGGAGCTTTTCGACCCGTTCTGCCCGGTCTGGTCGTGCTCCAGCTCCAGGTTTTCCCTCGTCCTCCTCAGCAGCAGCTGCCCCAGCGCCGGCCTCAGCAGGTGCCACGCCCACTACCGCCGCTGGCCCTGGCGCCGCCCACCACCCCCAAGCCCAAGCTCACACCCGCCAACCCTCACACTCACACACGCTCTCGCACTCACAGTCCTACTCCTCCCGCTCCCACTCACGCTCCAACTCCAACTCCAACGCCGCCAACTCGCATCTCCCCCCTCACAGCAGCCATCACCAACGCACCTCTTCTTCCGCCCGCAACTATCAGCCGCAGTCCCTTTCGCAAAATGACTACGAGGCCTCGCGCCTAGTCGCCGCCGTCAACGCCCACGCTCAACGAAGCTCCAGCAGAGACCGACAACCCCCGGCCAGGGGCCCCGATCCCTCGCGGGCCCATCGACGGAGCTCGTCTCGATCAAAGAGCAGCAACAACCACCAAAGTCCTCATCCCGAAATGGCTCCCTCGGCCACCACGAGCAATGGCGCCGGCTCCCAGAATGCAGCCCAACCCCGGGAGCATGGCCACGCCGATGCGCCGCCCCGTCCCTCAACTTCCAAGCACGCGAGATCGCGTACCGTCATCCCGACCCAATCTGGAAAATGGATGCTAGGCAAGACCATTGGTGCTGGCAGCATGGGCAAGGTCAAGCTCGCCCGAAAGGAGGATGGCAGCGAACAGGTGTGTCTTTGGCGTCTTTTGTTCTCGTCGCCCTTCAATTCTTGTTGCATTCCCATCTACCTGCCCCTCTTGTTTCAATCGCAAACATCTTGATCGAGCTCTCCCCGCGAATGATACTAATTGCTGCCTGATACTAGGTCGCCTGCAAAATCATCCCCCGTGGCTCGACCGATGATGGCCACCAGTCTCGCGCCGACAAGGAGCGCGCCGATCAGTCCAAGGAGATACGAACTGCCCGTGAGGCGGCCATCGGTACTCTCCTAAACCATCCCCACATCTGTGCCGTTCACGATGTTGTTCGTACCAATCATCACTGGTACATGCTGTTCGAATATGTCAACGGAGGCCAGATGCTCGATTACATCATCTCTCACGGCAAGCTCAAGGAGAAGCAAGCCCGAAAGTTTAGCCGGCAAATCGCGAGCGCTCTCGACTATCTGCACAGGAACAGTATTGTTCATCGAGACCTCAAGATCGAAAACATTCTCATCAGCAAGACGGGCGATATCAAGATCATCGATTTTGGTCTGAGCAACCTATTTGCGCCTCGTAGTCATCTCAAGACCTTCTGTGGCTCCCTTTACTTTGCCGCCCCTGAACTCCTGCAGGCTAGGGCGTATACTGGTCCGGAAGTGGACGTGTGGAGCTTCGGTATCGTCCTCTACGTCCTGGTTTGTGGCAAAGTTCCCTTTGACGATCAGAGCATGCCTGCGCTACACGCCAAGATCAAGAGAGGTCTTGTTGATTACCCGGCGTGGTTGTCAAGTGGTAGGTGCATGTTGTTGTTTTTACTCGGCCTGCGCTAATCAATCTTCAGAATGCAAACATCTTCTATCCCGCATGCTTGTCACGGATCCCAAGCAGCGAGCGACCATGCAGGAGGTGCTGAACCATCCTTGGATGATCAAGGGCTTCAACGGCCCACCGGAGAACTACCTCCCTGCCCGTGAGCCTCTGACGACACCCTTGGAGCCAGAGGTTGTTCTAGCCATGCAAGGCTTCAACTTTGGCACCCCTGAGAGCATCAACGCACAGCTCACCAAGATTATCGAGTCAGAGGAATACCAGCGTGCGATCAAACTCTATCAACGAGAAAAGGACACTCCCCCACCAACCAAGGATGCCGAGAAGAGAAGGCCATTTGGATTTGATTTCTACAAGCGGAGGAACTCTGGCAACAGCCGTGATACTCTGACAGGCCCCAGCTCTGAAGCGCTCCAGATTGGCAGCGACCCTATGAATGCCTTTAGCCCTCTCGTGTCTATCTATTATCTGGTAAAGGAGAAACAGGATCGGGATCATGCCGACATGGCTCATCCGCCAGCAGCGCACTCCCGTGAGCGGGAGAAGGAGAAAGAAAAGGAGAAGGAGAGAGAGCGCGAGAGAGAGCGTGAGCGGGAACGTGAGAAGGAACGCGAGCGTGAGAGAGAAAAGGAGAGGGAGCGCGAAATGCGTGAACGAGAGAGAGCGAAGGAACCAGAGTCGGTGCCGGAGATCGCACCACCCCAGGAGGCCCATACTAATGCTGCGGCCTACGAGATGCCTGGCGAGAAACCCACCGGTGGCCGCACGAGACCTCGCGCTCGCACACATGGTGAGGACGACATGCCTGAAGTGCCAAAGCCTCCTCCGCCTCCGGAGCCCAAGGTTGAGCAGTTCCACAAGAAGGAGGGCACTGCGGCCGGTCTCCTGCGTCGGTTTAGCACGCGGAAGCGTAAGGAGCCTGAGCGACTGGACAAGGACCGGTCCCATCCTCCTGTTGTGCAGGTTCACTCGCCAGCTGAACCCTCACCCCTCGCTCCCCGAAAGAGCTTCAGTATCCGTCGTGGACGACGCGAGCGGGATGAGGCCGCGGATGCGCGGTTCCGTTCTGGCAGCAGCCAGCCTCAGACCAGCGAGCTTCTCAGTCCGCCCATGTCTGCTGGTGGCACCAAGGAGTCTCGGCGTACTGGTGGCCTTGGTCGATCGACGAGTGTCAACTCGGCTGATCTCAGGCGAAGGAAGGATGCCCCAGCCACCAGTGGCTCCGATCAGTCTGTTTTGAACGAGGATTCTCTGAGTACACACCGCAGCCACGGGCACAGTCGATCAGTTAGCATGCGGGCCAAGTCGATCGGTCACGCCCGGAGGGAGAGCATTCAACAACGCCGCATGAGGAGAGAAGCAGCCCAGGAAGCCAATGTGCCCGAAGAGACGGATCAGGAGCTCGAGCAGAGTGGTGTCTCAACCGACCGACTAGATGACACCGAGCTGGCGAAGCCGGTATACCTGAAGGGACTCTTCAGCGTATCAACAACATCCGGCAAATCAGTGCCAGCGATCAGAACCGATATCAAGCGAGTCCTGCGGCAACTCAATGTGGACTACACAGAGATCAAGGGAGGATTCAGCTGCAGTCATTCGCCAAGCATTGACCTTAACAGGGTACAAGACCCTCCTATGAGCCCTGGGATGACACCAGGACACAAGAGGCGATTCAGCTTCGGAGGTCTCATGAGGGGAGACGATCGTGAGCGTGAGCGAGATGAGTTTCGCGAATCGGAGCGACCTCCCACAACGCCTCGAACACCTGGTCGCCCAGACCGCAGCTTCTCCAACTCTGAGACGTCGTTTGACAGCATTCCCGGAAGAAGCGGCAACCAGTCAAGGCGGGTGCCTGGGGAGACGAGCACTCAAGTGCAGAGTGATCTTGGAGGAAGCATGGTGTTGGAGTTTGAGATCTTTATCGTCAAGGTGCCACTGCTATCACTACACGGCATTCAGTTCAAGCAAGTGACGGGCAACACGTGGCAGTACAAGAGCATGGCTGATCATATTCTTCGGGAACTGAGGCTGTAAGGTAGCTAGTTTCGGGACAGGATGGCAGCCATGGCTGCCCAGTTGGGCTGGGTATCACCAAGTTGTGACTTTGAACTGGGGCATGGGTTTCTTGGTGGTTGTATAAGAGACGTGCGAAGGCGGACATGATGGCGGTTTTCATTGTTTCAAGCATGGGCGATCATACAGGAAGCACATATAGTATTAATGATTTATAGTGGCTCAGAGACAGGGGCGAGAGTGATGAAGCAGAGGAAGAAATGTAATGGGAGTTTTACGTTGGCCGATATTTTTCTATGTCTCACCAAGTGGTGTTATCGTTGAACAGCCACGACGTCGAGTCCTGATGATGGATGACGAGGCTGATGCTTGTACGACAAGGCTGGCCTGCTCGCTTGAAGCATGCCGCAAGCAGGGCAGTCAAGATGGCATCCATGGAGACTCGAGTGACCTCCCCGCACTCCAAAACCAAGTAGACTTTGCGCCATCCGCCGCTACAGGGGTACCGCTCCAGGGTCCAAGCTTTTGTCCTCCAGGTCGAGGCAAGCTGTCACGTAAGTCAAGAAATAATCGAGACACCAGAACGGCATAACTTTTCTTCAGACTGATCAATAGATTCACACAAGTATATTAAAATGATACCCTAATCTAATAATCACATTAGATATTTCATCTTTATTCTTCATTTACTCTTATTATATGCTCGTAACCACCTTTAGGGAATGATACTCTCATGAATCTCGGTGCTAGTGTTTCTTTTTTTTCCTGACCTGCGTGGCTGTCCTGGTTCTTCTTCCAATCTGAACCCCACAGGTATCCCAGTGAACCAATCATTCCATCGATTCCCAATCGCTCCTGGCCCCAGTCGCAACCACCACCCACCACCACAAACCAACCCGCCAACTACCTTGGGCTTTATCCTTCGACGATAATCCTCCCCTCAGCCGCCGTCAACCTCCTGCATCTCCCCTCATCTATATCACACCTCTCAACCCTCGACAAAGGCTTTCTACACGACGTTCCTTTCTCCTGGATTCCCTCTTTACCTCGCTTTTCTCGAGTCCTCGATCCGTCGGCTCTCTACGACGCCTCTTCAGCCCGCACGTTGCGCCCTCGACCGACTATCCGCGAAGTGTCCCATTCCCCTCTGCGCCCATCGATCGATCGAGCATCCGACCAGGCGTATACACCCGCTTCACATAGAAGCCCGTAAACATCCGAAACATCCGACCACGTATCCTCAACTCTGCCCTTTCAATCCTCCGAGCGAGAAAAGTCCCGCCCAACATGATGCCCGCGGCGCACGTCTACGGACACCACCAGTTCAATCCCCAGGGCGCCGAGTCGTCCTGGATGCACCAGCAAGCCGGCGCGCATCATCCTCATGCTCAGCAGCAGCAGCAGCAGCAGCAGCAGCAGGTTGCCGCTGCCGCCGCCGCCGCTGTTCAGCAACAACAGCACTTTAGCCGTCTGGCTGGCGCAGGTCAGCTGCCTGGCCACGGTCAGGATGGTGGTCACGACAATATCTCAGAGGACAACCGCCGCACCATGGGGTTTATTGCCGACTTGCTCAACGAGAACACCCGCGAAGCTGCCCTGCTGGAGCTGAGCAAGAAGCGTGAGCAGGTTCCTGAGCTCGCCCTTATTCTATGGCACTCCTTCGGTTCGTATCCAACTCCCACGAGGACTCGATACCAGACATATGGCTAACATCGATTGTCCCAGGTGTTATGACCTCGCTTCTTCAGGAAATCATCTCTGTATACACCCTCCTCAACCCCTCCCAGCTCACCGCAGCTGCGTCGAACCGCGTATGCAACGCGCTCGCCCTTCTCCAGTGCGTTGCATCGCACAACGATACCAGGACTCTGTTCCTGAATGGTTCGTACATATGCATCTCGATACTGTTATCTTGGCTCACACTTTGCAGCTCACATTCCTCTCTTCCTCTACCCCTTCCTCAACACGACCTCCAAATCACGCCCCTTCGAATACCTTCGACTGACCAGTCTCGGCGTGATTGGTGCGCTGGTCAAGAATGACTCTTCCGAAGTGATTAACTTTCTCCTCACGACAGAGATTATTCCTCTGTGCCTGCGCATCATGGAGACAGGCTCGGAGCTTAGCAAGACCGTGGCCATCTTCATCGTCCAGAAGATTCTTCTCGACGACAACGGTCTCAACTACATTTGCGCGACGTATGAACGATTCTACGCGGTCGGCACTGTGTTGAGCAATATGGTTGCTCAGCTCGTCGAGTCACAGACGGCGCGATTGCTGAAGCACGTTGTTAGATGCTTCCTGCGGTGAGTTGGATAGTTATTGCGATGCGTATGTGGTTGCTAACGGTGCCTTTTCAGACTCAGCGATAATGCCCGAGCACGTGAAGCTCTTCGCCAGTGTCTCCCGGAGCCCCTTCGGGATGCGACCTTCTCGTCCGTTCTCCGTGACGATGCAGCAACCAAGAGATGCCTCGCTCAGCTCCTCATCAACCTCTCGGACAACGTGGTTGACCCTGGTCCGGGTGGCGTTAACAACATGTGAGGGAGAAGCCAAGTCATCAAACCTGGGAGAGCCTCCCAACTGTGAAATACCCATTGTGCATTGATACGGCGATATAGGGAGGACGGATGGGATTGTTTTTATCATGACATTCTAGGAAAAGCAAAGGGGACGGATCAAAAGCATCTGATACCCGCAAACCCTCCAGCTCGATGCGCCAGAGACCAGCAGAGCCCCTGAGTTGGTACTCTCTTTCAAGTGGTCGCTGACGGTTATGGGACTTGCATTCTGTTTCGCATACCTCGGAACTGGGTCCAAAGGGCTTATATTATCCTGTTGCATAGCGACAGGGACATGTGCATTACCATTTTTATTTCGTTGGTCGGATTATCTTGGTCACCGAGGGCCAAGTTTGTATCATCTGTGGACACTTAGTAGACAGGTCTGACGTGGAGGCATCAAGGGGGTCTCGCTGGAGAGGCGAGGCGGAGATGGCCTTGGAAAGGAGCACAGGTCAGACAGCTGGCAGTGGACTATGGGGGCAACGGATAGATAGTAGGGGACTTATGGGAGGTCTTGACATTCCTGGTTTTGGGGTGTTTTAGGCGTTGGATGGGATGTCATGTCATGCATCAGAGACACGGTGTTTGTTAGGTATAGGAGTGTTTATAGGATGGAATTGACATTTAAGATGAATAATCGTGTGTGTGTAGTGTGCAGTGTGTAGTGTGCAGTGTGTAGTGTGCAGTGTGTAGTGTGCAGTGTATGTTTGTGTCCATGTTAGTAGTGTGAGATTGGAATGTGAGGTTGGAGTGTCGGGGATGAGAGTGATGGCTCTCGAGATATCATAACCACTCTAAAAACCTCTAATGGCTGGCATTTGTTGTGTCTAATTCGTGTCACTCAAAAGTGTTGCATGTTGGTTTACGGTGGTCATGTAAGACGTCTAATTTGGCACAGTAATATCAAGTTGCTACATGGTTCTCATCTCAAGCTTGCTGACTTAGGGCGAGGAGTACTTGTATCCGTACTGCTCCTTGGCCTTGTCGACCACCTTCTTCAACTCATCCCTCTCCTTCTGAACCTTGTCGCTTACAGGATCCAAGCCGGTGGGCTTCTCCTCCCCGCTCGGCAGTGCAAGACCCCGACGCACAGCCGGCCTCTCAAGCAGACGGGCCAGCCAATCCCTAACGTGGGGGAACTGCTCCCACGAGATGGTGGAACGAGGGAGTCCGTTGACCCAGCCGACCATGGCAATGTCGGCGATGGAGTAGCGGCCCCGGTCCGGTCCTACGACGAAGTCACGCGAGGTGAGGCGGTCGTTGAGGATTCCGATGAGGCGCTCCGTCTCGCCTACGTAGCGCTGAATCCCGTAGGGGATGACTTCCTTTGCGTTGAGGAAGTGACCTGCTTGGCCCATCCTGTTGGTGCCGTGTCAGCAGGTTACTCTATATATAATGCCATTGGCGTGTGGCAGTGAAGGTGACTTACATGGGTCCGAGTCCGCCATGCTGCCATCCAATCCACGACTCGGCGCGGGTGTAGTCATCGTCGTCAATATTGAAGGAGAACTTGTGCTCAGGATCGTACTTCCTAGTCAAGTAGCTCAAAATAGCATTACCCTCGAACACAGCGAGGTCGCTGTTGTCGTGGTCGACCAGGACCGGGATGCGGCCGTTGGGGTTGAGGGCAGTGAACCACGGCTCCTTCTGGATGTTCTGGCTGATGTTGACGGCCTGCATGGTGTAGTCCTTTCCGTAGGCGTCCCGCAGCTCCTCGAGGAGCACGGTGGCTTTGACGCCGTTGGGGGTGCCCCAAGTCAGGAGCTCTACGCCCTTGGAGGCGATGAGGCCGGTGGGACGAGACATGGTAGAGTAGCTACAGAGGATGAAGGGTTTAACTCCGAGGTGTCTGAGTAGAAGCTTTGATGATGCTATAGTTGGGTAGAGAGAGGAGATGGACATTAGAGAGTGACGTCTTTGGTGGCGTTTGCTTTATATTCACTTGGAAACCTACTTGCAGAGTTTGCATTCATCAAGTGTCGATGTATAGAAGCAGCCATTGTGTTTCTCAAAAACACGCTTACAGAGCAGATAAGATGCAGATTGAATAACAAATCAAGTCCGATACTTCCGCTTTATCAATCAAGTTGAATTACCAAATATGCGCGCGGTTCGGTGGAATAGGTACAGCGAGGTTATTCCAAATTACTCAGCCAAATTTTGGTTGCGGAGAAAAACTCGATGAGGTAATCAATGTGATGGGAAAGACTAGCAGCGGGCGCAAGGGGAATGATTGAAACACTGGGTCAGGGCTAGATCCGATGGATGGGAACTAACACGCGGGAACGGGAGATTTTCCCCTCGAGAGTTTCATGTTTATTATTCGAGGGTTTGATTCCTTTGAATTGGTTAAGGACACTCCTAGAAGGCTCCTTGAAGGAGGCTCCTTGGATGAGTATATTGAGGCTCAGTGGGTAGGGGTTACAATTCAAAACAGATAAATGAAGCGATTTGAGA